CTGCTTGACCAGACCAGACCTGTGGACAAGTCTGCTTGACCAAACCAGACCTGTGGACAGGTCTGCTTGACCAGATCAGACCTGTCGACAGGTCTGCTTGACCGGAACAGACCAGACCTGTGGACAAGTTTGGTATTTAACAGAGCAGTCTTGTCAGTCATGGGGACAGGTCTGCTTTTTAATCGGTCCTATGGATATTCTTTACCACGTTGATACATACAATAAAAGCAGTCCTGTTTACAAGTTAACTTTGGATCATGCTAACTTTATTTTGGAAGAGCGGACAAGACCAAAGTTAACTTAGAATCAAGTTAACTTTATCTAAGAGGAGCAGACCAGACCAAAGTTAACTTTGGATCATGTTAACTTTATCATGGACCAAACCAAAGTTAACTTTTATAAGAACAGGTCTGGTTTGACTTTTGATAGCAGATATGGTCATAAGTTAACTTGTGTGTAGGACTGCTTGTGGCAAAGTTAACTTCGTCCAAAGTTAACTTCAATTCTGGACATGGACCTGTCCTGAAGTTAACTTTTCGGGCAATCATTCAACAGTCATAGGACCAAGTCTGCTTTTTAAGCTAACACAAATGCTGTCCTAGGACCGGTCACAGCAGTCATAAAACCGGCCCTAAGTTAACTTTAACCAGTCATAAAGTTTGCTTATTAAGTTAACTAGCTGTACAGGTTAGGACTGCACCCATCTGTATCAATCTATCAATAGTTTTATGTGTTGATTTCTAAACCGTTAGATGCGATGATACCTAATAATGGGTATTCCAGAAACTCGACATGTCGTAAGCACTGATATCGGTATCATTGTTTTACATTTGATCATTGGGCAATATTTGACCTGCTGAAGACGAGATTATATTTTAATCTCGCTCGATTTCCCCATTTTTCTGTCGTATTGCCCAAATATACTTTATCGATGATTGTCCTGCCACCCATGTTCTACAAGTTTATTATTTTTCTCGTTCATTTCACATATTGTCACTGGAGTGTAATTTCTAATTTCCCTTTCAACAAATCTGTTTTATTTCTTAATTCAGACAAAGCACAAAAAAAAAACAATATGAAATGAACAACAATCAAATCGTTGTCATAAATCCGCAACAAGATATTGAACAAAGTCCATTGGATATGGTACATAAATCATAATTATAATAAATATAATTTAAGATATAACAGATAATAGAATATGTTAAACGAAAGCTGAAAAGCCAGAGATAGATAAATACGAAAAACGTTCACAAGCAGATGAACCGAAGAACTCTATGCAAACCCAACCAAAGTTAAAGTTTAATGTAAATCATATTTAATTGAAGTACTGATATTTGATCTGTTAAAAATCAATGTGCAGGAAATTTTCACTAGGAAAGTGTAAGAGTTCAATAATCAATTTCTCTATTGTATATTGTATATAACATATTTGACCAGTATCTGGCATTGGGTGTTCAAGTACAGTAATGCATCTAACGTACATTATTAATATATTTTATATTTATTATATATTCAGTCATTCTTATAACTTTTCTTACCAATGAAAATGAACAACAGGAGATATGGAATATACGCCATTGAAACGGTAATCTAACAAAACACAACTGTTACACCGAAAACAAGATATATTCATTTGACGAGATACTGTGGATTCATGTGTTTCCTTGATACCATTTTTTTGATTGGATAACCCAAATATTTTGTGGATATTTGATGTCGTGGTCTTGAAAAATAATCTGCATACAAGCCTATAGACAGTTTATTCTTCGTTGAACATTTAAATTCGTGGTTTACCTTACACCTCGAAATTAAGAAAAATTCGGACCCCACGAATAATAATGAATCCACAGTATATAAAAAGGCAGATATGTCTGAACTGAAGCGAAACGATAAATTTACATAAAAAGTGTGGCTAAATCAGGCTATCAAATCGCACAAAACCCCACAAGATACACTCGAGGAGAGCATTCGTTTCGCTGTATGACCAAAAAGGACATACACATATAACATAGATCCATCTAAAGAAAACTTTTCCTGAGGAGTTAAAACCTTAGTTTCTTAATAATTTCTAAATGTATGAACAGACATTTAAGCAAGGCATGTTATAAATCATGTCAGTATCGATGAACTGACAACTGATCTGATAATACCCTCGGGGACTTATATCCAACAGCAATGTTATCGACCCAATGTGAGTCTCGTTTAGTTATTTCAGTCCTTGTGGCGTGGAATCAATGAACTCGATCGATTAATTATTTAATTTATGTATCATAATAACGAATGTTTTTTTTTCGATCGGAAAGAAGGGCGTGGGCGCTTCATTTTCTAAATGTTCATTTTTTTTGTCATAGTCCTAATATTTGCTCAACCACTGACTTATTCAATTTCGGATTATTAACGTTAATCTGTTTAACATAACTTTACCAGTAAATGCAGTTTCCTCATCAGTGTTTTTTTTCAATGCACGCTTTCTTCCTTTGTGTCTTTCTAGAAATATACATTGAAATAGATATTAAGAAATAGTCCTCGTTATTACAGACATTGCATATAGTAAATATAAATTTTGTTAATAAGGATGTCACGTGTAGCAACACAAGTAACGCATTACTTAAGTATTGATCCTACATATACTGCATTTATAATGTTAAACGGCCCAGATTCCACTTCCTTTATTCCTTGTTTTGATATTTCGATTTACTAGTAAAAGCATGATTCTGTTTCCTGAATAGCAACATTTGAGTACAAGCAAAGCTTCATATCCCAAAGACGTATTTTATTGTTATTCAGAATTGACTTTGCCAGAATAAAAGAATATTCATCTACAGTGAAGAGATATTATGTGTTAATGGTAGTTTTGTATTTCTTACGTTATAATATTAGTTTTTACTCGTTGTTATATTGAAAATGTAGAATCAATTCATTTTCAAAATTTAGGAAATTTACTTCAAACGCTTTGATCATCTATGATCATTTTAAAGACTTTAAAAAAACAATTCATTTTTTCATCTAAGCTCCTCATAACAGTCTGTGTGTAAACGACTCCTATTCATCTTTTTCATGTCCTGATCATTGTTATATCTTATACATGTAACATCACTCTTATTTTTTTCTGGACACCTAATAATGTAGATATCAACTCTCCAAAATTCAATATTTATGAAAAATCTCTCGGTATGGAAAGATATTGTACACCGTTATTTGCACTATTTATTGCAAACTACTCTTTTTCTATTAAAATACTGTTGACGTTTTTGTTTGATGTATCAATAGTTTAACTCGATCTGAACATGAATAAAATATTTGCCCTGGACGATAAGCAAACAACTATCAATCAATCAATAGTTTTATGTGTTGATTTCTAAACCGTTAGATGCGATGATACCTAATAATGGGTATTCCAGAAACTCGACATGTTGTAAGTACTGATATCGGTATCATTCTTTAACATTTGATCATTGGCAAATATTTGACATGCTGAAGACGAGATTATATTTTAATCTCGCTCGATTTCCCCATTTTTCTGTCGTATTGCCCAAATATACTTTATCGATGATTGTCCTGCCACCCGTGTTCTACAAGTTCATTATTTTTCTCGTTCATTTCACATATTGTCACTGGAATGTAATTTCTAATTTCCCTTACAACAAATCTGTTTTATTTCTTAATTCAGGCAAAGCACAAAAAACAATATGAAATGAACAACAATCTAATCGTTGTCATAAATCCGCAACAAGATATTGAACAAAGTCCATTGGATATGGTACATAAATCATAATTATAATAAATATAATTTATAATATAATAGATAATAGAATATGTTAAACGAAAGCTGAAAAGCCAGAGATAGATAAATACAAAAAACGTTCACAAGCAGATGAACCGAAGAACTCTATGCAAACCCAACCAAAGTTAAAGTTTAATGTAAATCATATTTAATTGAAGTACTGATATTTGATCTGTTAAAAATCAATGTGCAGGAAATTTTCACTAGGAAAGTGTAAATAGTTCAATAATCAATTTCTCTATTGTATATTGTATATAACATATTTGACCAGTATCTGGCATGGGTGTTCAAGTACAGTAATGCATCTAACGTACATTATTAATATATTTTATATTTTATTATATATTCAGTCATTCTTATAACTTTTCTTACCAATGAAAATGAACAACAGGAGATATGGAATATACGCCATTGAAACGGCAATCTAACAAAACACAACTGTTATACCAAAAACAAGATATATTCATTTGACGAGATACTGTGGATTCATGTGTATCCTTGATACCATTTTTGTGATTGGATAACCCAAATATTTTGTGGATATTTGATGTCGTGGTCTTGAAAAATAATCTGCATACAAGCCTATAGACAGTTTATTCTTCGTTGAACATTTAAATTCGTGGTTTACCTTACACCTCGAAATTAAGAAACATTCGGACCCCACGAATAATAATGAATCCACAGTATATAAAAAGGCAGATATGTCTGAACTGAAGCGAAACGATAAATTTACTAAAAAAGTGTGGCTTATTCAGACTATCAAATCGCACAAAACCCTACAAGATACACTCGAGGAGAGCATTCGTTTCGCTGTATGACCAAAAAGGACATACACATATAACATAGATCCATCTAAAGAAAACTTTCTCTGAGGAGTTAAAACCTTAGTTTCTTAATAATTTCTAAATGTATGAACAGACATTTAAGCAAGGCATGTTATAAATCATGTCAGTATCGATGAACTGACAACTGATCTGATAATACCCTCGGGGACTTATATCCAACAGCAATGTTATCGACCCAATGTGAGTCTCGTTTAGTTATTTCAGTCCTTGTGGCGTGGAATCAATGAACTCGATCGATTAATTATTTAATTTATGTATCATAATAACGAATGTTTTTTTTCGATCGGAAAGAAGGGCGTGGGCGCTTCATTTTCTAAATGTTCATTTTTTTTGTCATAGTCCTTATATTTGCTCAACCACTGACTTATTCAATTTCGGATTATTAATGTTAATCTGTTTAACATAACTTTACCAGTAAATGCAGTTTCCTCATCAGTGTTTTTTTTCAATGCACGCTTTCTTCCTTTGTGTCTTTCTAGAAATATACATTGAAATAGATATTAAGAAATAGTCCTCGTTATTACAGACATTGCATATAGTAAATATAAATTTTGTTAATAAGGATGTCACGTGTAGCAACACAAGTAACGCATTACTTAAGTATTGATCCTACATATACTGCATTTATAATGTTAAACGGCCCAGATTCCACTTCCTTTATTCCTTGTTGTGATATTTCGATTTACTAGTAAAAGCATGATTCTGTTTCCTGAATAGCAACATTTGAGTACAAGCAAAGCTTCATATCCCAAAGACGTATTTTATTGTTATTCAGAATTGACTTTGCCAGAATAAAAGAATATTCATCTACAGTGAAGAGATATTATGTGTTAATGGTAGTTTTGTATTTCTTACGTTATAATATTAGTTTTTACTCGTTGTTATATTGAAAATGTAGAATCAATTCATTTTCAAAATTTAGGAAATTTACTTCAAACGCTTTGATCATCTATGATCATTTTAAAGACTTTAAAAAAACAATTCATTTTTTCATCTAAGCTCCTCATAACAGTCTGTGTGTAAACGACACCTATTTATCTTTTTCATGTCCTGTTCATTGTTATATCTTATACATGTAACATCACTCTTATTTTTTTCTGGACACCTATGAATGAATATATGAACTCTTTAAAATTCAACATTTATTTAAAGATCTTTCGGTATGGAAAATTTTCTACAACATTAATTGCACCATTTATTGCAAACTAACCTTTTTCTAACAAAATATCGTTGACGTTGATGTTTGAGGCGTAAATAGTTTAACTCGTCCTGAACGAGCATGACATATTTGCCCCTGGACGTTAAGCAAATAAGTATGAATCAATCAATAGTTTTATGTGTTGATTTCCTAAACCGTTAGAAGCAATGACACCTAATAATGGGTATCCAAGAAACACGACGTGTCCTTAGCACTGATATCAGTATGATTGTTTTACGTTTGATCATTGGGCAATATTTGACTTGCTAAAGATGAGACAATATTTAAATGTCGCTCTATATTTCTTTCGTTTTTGTCGTATTGCCCATATGTACTTTATTAGCGATTGTCATGGCATCTGTGTTCTACAATTTGATAATTTTCCTTGTTTATGTCAAATATTGTCACTAGAGTGTAATTTCTAATTTCATTTACAACTAACTGCTTTACTTTTCAATTCATGCAAAGCACCAAAAAAAAAAAATAAAAATAAACAACATTTAAATCTTTGGCATTCATTGTTCTGGCGTATTGCCCAAATATATTTTATCGATGATTGTCCTGCCACCCGTGTTCTACAAGTTCATTATTTTTCTCGTTCATTTCACATATTGTCAGTGGAGTGTAATTTCTAATTTCCCTTACAACAAATCTGTTTTATTTCTTAATTCAGGCAAAGCACAAAAAACAATATGAAATGAACAACAATCAAATCGTTGTCATAAATCCGCAACAAGATATTGAACAAAGTCTATTGGATATGGTACATAAATCATAATTATAATAAATATAATTTATGATATAATAGATAATAGAATATGTTAAACTAAAGCTGAAAAGCCAGAGATAGATAAATACGAAAAACGTTCACAAGCAGATGAACCGAAGAACTCTATGCTAACCCAACCAAAGTTAAAGTTTAATGTAAATCATATTTAATTGAAGTACTGATATTTGATCTGTTAAAAATCAATGTGCAGGAAATTTTCACTAAGAAAGTGTAAGAGTTCAATAATCAATTTCTCTATTGTATATTGTATATAGCATATTTGACCAGTATCTGGCATTGGGTGTTCAAGTACAGTAATGCATCTAACGTACATTATTAATATATTTTATATTTTATTATATATTCAGTCATTCTTATAACTTTTCTTACCAATGAAAATGAACAACAGGAGATATGGAGTATACGCCATTGAAACGGCAATCTAACAAAACACAACACCAAAAACAAGATATATTCATTTGACGTCATGACATCTGTGTTCTGCAATTTGATAGTTTTCCTTGTTTATGTCAAATATTGTCACTAGAGTGTAATTTCTAATTACATTTACAACTAACTGTTTTACTTTTTAATTCATGCAAAACACAAAAAAAAAAAAAAAAAAAAAATAAACAACATTCAAATCTTTGTCATTCATTGTCATCAGCAGCAAGATATTGAACCAAATCTATTGACTATGGTTCATAATTCATCACTATAATAAATATGATATAATATAATAGACAGTAGAATATCTTAAACGAAAGCTGAAAAGCACCTAAAGCACTTAGGGAAATAGATGAACAAGGAAAATATCCGCAAGCAGAAGGATTTCTATGCAAACCCAACAAAGGTGAAAGTCGAATATTAATCATATTTATTGAAGAACTGATATTCGATATGTTGAGAATCAATGCGTGATTAGAATTTTCACTAGGAAATTGTAAGAGTTCAATTATCAATTTCTTTTTTGGATATTATCACATGTCATGTAATAAAAAAGAAACATATCTTTCACCAGAAACTGACATGCATGTTCAGGTACAATAAAGCATCTAACGTAAATTGTTAATATATTTGATATTTTATTGTATATTTAGTCATTCTAATAACTTTTCTTACCAATGAAAATAAACAATAGAAGATATACATTATAAGCCATTGAAACGGTAACCTAACAATAGACAACACCAAAAAGAAGATACATTTATTTGACGAGATACTGTTGATTCATAAGTTTTCCTTGGTAACAAGTTGTGTTGATTGGGTAACAAAAGTATTTAGTGGATATTTGATTTTGTAGTCTTAAAAGAATCTGCATAAAAGAACTATAGACAGTTTATTCTTCGTTGAACATTGAAATTCGTGGTTTACCTTATTCCTCGAAATCAACAGAAATTGGCAACCCATGAATAATAATGAATCCACAGTAGATGAAAAGGCAGATATTATTTCCGAACTGAAACGGAATGATAAATTAACTATAAATGTGTGGCTAAATCAGACTATCAAATCGCACAAAGTCATACAAGATACACTCGATGAGAGCATTCGTTTCGCTGTATGACCACAAAGGACATACAAATAGTTGATAGGTTCATCTAAGGTTAATTTTTCCTGGTGAGTTAAAACCTTAGTTTCGTTATAATTTCTAACCTTATAAACGGTCAATTTAAGAAAGGCATGTTATAAACCATTTTAGTACCGAAGTTACTACTACGGAGTTAATGATATTCTCGGGGACTAATAGACCATCATCAGGCGTATCAATCCAGTGTAAGTCACGAACAGATTCCGTCAGTCCACAAGGTATGAAACCAAAGTTTCTCGATTGGTGAATTGTTCAATGTATGTTTATAATATCAAAAATCTTTGTCGACTAGAAAAGAGTGATGGGCAGGTGATTCATCTTTTTCATACTCATGATGCTTGTTATTATATAAATATTTACTCAATCACTGATTTATTTAATTAAGGATTATCAATGTAAATATGTTTAACATTATTTTACCAATATCTGAAGTTATTGCATCAATATTCTTTTTCTTTTCACGTTTTAAATGTTTTCCTTTTAGAAATATATAATGAAATAGTAATAAAAAAAGTTCTCTTTAATACAGTCTCTGCATATAATAAGTATGAATATTGTTAATAAAGATGCCACGTGAAGTGACATAACTTATGCTCATAATGTGAGACAGTCCAAATTTTACTTGCGTTATTTATTTTGGTGATTTATTTCATTTTTCTGATACAGACAGAAAGATCATTTAAGACTATTAAAACAAATCACTTTTTTCAACTAAGCTCCTAATATTTCTTTTATCCTTTTTAGGACACCTATAAAGGTAAATATGAACTCATCAAAATTCAACATATATCTCTCGGTACATTAAACTATTGTTCACCATTACACATGTAATTGCAAATGGTTTTGCAGAATAAAACATACAGTTGCAGGGAAATTTATTTCTTCTGTTTACTTTTCAATTATTACTCATGAAAAAAGGGTAGCCGTTGTAGAGATGAACCGTTACTCTACCTTACTGTCAACATTTAAAATACTATAATATATCCTCTGATTGGTTGTGCAGCAAATTTAAAAAAATAAGTAAATAACTTCATTATTCTTTAAAGTATTAAATGAAAGTGCAAACTATAAATGTTTGGAAACTTAGGACAAATATTCACACATACCATACATATTTTAAAAGGAAGCATGTTCAAGATCCAAAGATTAGGTCTATCTTGTAGTCTCAACCATTCCTTAATGTAAACTATAATACCTATGCAAACTCAAATCATTACCCATTGTCAGTACTTTCCCTCAAAATACTGTTTCCGGGTGCAAAGATGCAAGTCAGTGCTTTTATCGAATCAGTATTTAACGGAGTTTTGTCGTATGAATTTTTGATGAGGCATCTTTAAGATTTAAAATGATTTCCACCTTCCAAATCAGAATCTATGTGACTATTTGTTTTAAAAAGGCATATTATATCTTTCATGTCCAAACTTAGGTATTAGGTCCTTACTATAATTTGGTATTGGGTCGTTACTATAATTTTTGTATTTGTTACGTACTATAATTTGGTTTAAGGTCCTTAGTATAATTTGGCAGTAGGTATTTAGCATACTTTAGATTCAAGGTCTAACTACAACTTGGAATTCTCCCTTATCAACCAAATCATTTAACTAACACCTTAAAATGCCAAATCTGTGATTTAACGCGAGGTTCTTCCTCTAACTGTATGATTATTACATGGTATAATATTCATTTTCATTGTGAAGTAAACATTTTTCTTGAATAACCCCCACCTAGAACACCCGGGACTAAAGTGTGTGAGACAAATGAATAGTTTTGAGAATCAAAGAAATTTATGTTGGAAGACAGTTAAAATGGTCCCTTCAAACCTTCCAGCCAGATTGAGGTGCAGCCTTAATATTGATTTCAAATAAATTAGATTTACCAAAGATAAAATGTCTTTTCAATTGTTGTTCAACTTCATACTGAATTCTCTTAAGGGTAGAGTAATGTAAATATCGTCACAGAAACAACTTTATATAAGCTGATTGTATTCTGGCGGCTATCATCACGAATACCAAAATGTAATCAGTCAACCAACGTTAACAAAAAGAATTTCAAACATCTCTATTTCAATTCGTGCTTTCATGTTTGCATTTACTTATTATAGCAACAAACCACTGAAGTCAATTAAAATAAAATTGAGAATGAAAATGGGGAATGTGTCAAAGAGACAACAACCCGACCAAAGAGCAGAAAACAGCCCAAGGCCACCAATGGGTCTTCAATAACTGTTTTTGAACGCAAATATGAATATATGTAATCCACAAACATATTAGACAAAAACATGTAATACAATGGAAATACAAATGATAATTTTCTGGTATAAATGTTTAATTGAGAGAGAGAGAGAGAGAGAGAGAGAGAGAGAGAGAGAGAGAGAGAGAGAGAGAGAGAGAGAGAGAGAGAGAGAGAGTCTTACGTTTCCTATGCGACCATATTCCTACGACCAGTATGAAAGCCACAACTGTTAAAGCACTGATTACAGCTACCAATACTTCCCCTGGAAAATAAATCATAAATCTATAAATACGAATAAAGAATGATAGTTAATAAAATATTTATTGATAAAAACCAATACAAAATAACAGTTATACAGTTTTATGAACTAGTATAAATCAAAACAATTTTACTCTACAATTTTGCTGCGTCCAAAACGTTTTTCACGATATAACTTCATCAGGAACGCTTCAATCCAAAAACATTCATTTTAGTCCAAGGATATACAGTACACGAGGACGACAAGAGCTATATAACCATAAGAGACCTTAAAAGAATAAAAAAATCTATCCAAGGTAAACATTTCTGATAAATATAGATACTATCATATTAATATACCAAATAACAGGTACACGATGATATCAAACTAAGAATGCAAAAGGGGATAAATAAGTGGTAAAATCAGAAACTCAAAAATCACTATAGAAAATACCAAGCAAAAGAAGAAATCAAAGGAACTCCAATCAGTACGATACCTTGACCATACACATGATACCATAAATGTCTTCTTCTATGAATGTATTACCTGCCTTGGAGGTAAATCCTGAAAAGCGCTTCCGATGCACGAAACTTATTAGTGTTATTCTTTTATTTACTAACGCTGGGGCGATACTACTACTGGTGGACTGTTAGTCCCCGAGGGTGTCATCAGCACAGTTGTCAGTGCTTTGGTACTGACATAATTTTTAACAAATTTTCTTAAATTCTCCATTGACAAATTCAAAAATTATAACGAATCTCAGATCCCAATTCCCTCAGTCAGAGTTGACCTAAATGAATCTGGCTATTTCATGTCCCTTTAGGTCATAACGCACTTCTTTTGTTTAGGACTTATATATTCTTGACTTCAAATGTTTTGGTTTGAGCGTTCCTGAAGAAATTAAATCCAGAAAAGCTCTTCGGACGCACAAAATATATAAATTGTTATTTTAATTGACTAATAGTGGGTGGAGACCACTGCTGGTAAACTGTTTGTCCCGAAAGGTAATCACCTCAGTGGTCAGTGTCTTATACATCCTTGGCATTCAAGTGTTTGAGTTTGAGCTTTCCTGATGAACGCACGAAATCAATTAAGTGTTATATTTCATTGACAATCCTGACTCAGTGGAAAAGATCGGTGATAGGATATATTTTGGAGGAAAATTTACTGATGATTAAATGTTCAGGATTTCCCGAATCAATGACAGCTCTCGTCTCGCGTTGTCTCCATTTAACGATTTAGAAAAGAAACTTTTGCTAGAGAACGAATATTTTGATGGTTATAATAATGATATGGATTTGCCTTAGCTTATCTCTGTTTTTTGTTTTGTTTTTGCTTGCCATGATGTTGTAGGTGTCTCTTCAACTTATGAACTTTGAATGCTCTATTTATATCTTCCACCTCTTTTGTAAATAATGTAATATAATCAATTACCTGTATTTCCGTCTTTGTCGTTTGGATTATTGTGGTCATCAGATAATTTTGTTGTAACTGTGCGGGTACCTTTATCTTTAAATTCTGAAAATTACACAAAACAATATTTGATGCAAATGCTTTCCTTATCAGCGACAGCTTCCAGACCCTTCCCCCCTTTCCAAAAAAAAACCCCCTAAAAACAAAACAACAAAAAAAAAAAACAAATTTAAACATTGTTGGTTGTTAACTGTCATACTGTTTATATATTACATGAATTTACAATCTACATTTGTCTCTCTCTGAGGTTTCTTTACCTCGAATTTAATTAATGCTTATAGGGATTAAAATATAAATAACGTTCTCAGGTTTGACATTTTTGACAGTTTGTCAGGACGTTGTCAGTTCGTTTTCTGCTTGTGTGCTCGAGGGTCACTTTGATATCGTCCGCCTCTCTTTTAAAACGTTTTGACTCGATTAATTCAGGTGTCAGGATTATTAACATTGGTATCATATGTTGTTTTTAGTCTGGTATGTTGTTTGTATATTTAATGTAAATTCTTTCTTTCGTTCTTTTATTTTCCAAAATGTTTTATTCCATTCAAAAATAGTTGAGACGTCAACCGTTTTAATGGAAAAATGCTAGACGTGTTTACTTAAAACAGTATTTACTTCTGTAGATATACGATCTTTATGATAATTTTTCATTGTGTTCATGTGTTGATTAGGTGAAATTGGGTTATTGTTTTAGAAGTTATTAAAATCCAGGCAGATGTAACTATTCCTTTCATTTTGTCGTCACTGCAACTCAAACCTATGCACTCTTCAAAACTTTTTATATTGTGTATACCTACTCATAGATTCAGAAATTTATTTTTAAATTAGATTAAAAAATGATAATAAACAGTCCCAGAAAAGTGGTAATTTTATCCGTCAAACGGTAATACCATTAATCCTTTTAAAGGGACATTAATGTTCACCGATTTGACCAAAATTCTCATATTGTATTTATAACATACTAAGACGTATATCCAAATTACAAAAAGTCCCAAAGAAACAATTAACAGTGCATGGGTTCGCTATAATGTATCCGCATTTCGTATGTATTTTTGACCAGACGCTATCTAATTATCCATCGAGATGACCCCCAAAGACTAACGACGGTCATATAACCCGATATTAACATAAATATTTAATGAATGACTATTATTTATTTTGAATTTATTGAACCATAAAATTAATTTTTGACTCTTCACATTGAATAATCCGCGAAGCGGATTATGTAAAATGTGAAGAGTCAAAAATTAATTTTATTGTTCATTAAATTCAAAATAAATTATTGTCATTCATTATAAATAAATTTCTATCAAAAATAAGGCTCAAAGAGCTTTTTATAATATTTTTATTAACAATAACAACGTACACACATGTTGGCGTATGAATACACAACGTCAGAGTGGGCGTGTCGCCATAAAAATTGACAACATTGAAAATAAAGGTAATATTTTTAACCAATCAGAAGACAGTACATACACCAAATTTATTTATTAATATTAATAGATAGCGAGCACGTGCAATCGGATTTTTCTAGGTCTGTTCGGTTTTATTTTATAGGTTTAAAACATATGTAAATCATCGTTTTACCTGTATCAGAACGATTTTTTGGAGGCCGGATCAGTCAACGAAATGGTTATTCCTATTGTCTACCTAGTTTCACTTTTCAATGTTGAAATATTGAATGAACATGCTGACCATCACATGCTAAATACATGCGCAGTCCATCTCCTCTAAAGGTCATACCAAAAGTTACATGAATACGGATTCAAACGATTTGAATTATTGATTTGCAATTTTGCAAAGTCCACTCATATTACCATTTGAAAATAATAATGGGTCACTACATAAGTTTTACAAAAAATTTATTCAATAAGCGTTTCATGCATAGCTTTGATTTACTTGTCCTTTTTGGCTTTAATTTTGGCCCTTTTGGTTGTTATCACCCCTTCAACGTTTGTATAAGGTTTTGGACTTGGTCTAGTTTGGCCTCGAACATCACTGAAGAGACGTTATTCGTCGAAATGCGCATATGGTGCAGTAAAATTTTTATCATTGAAAAAATATAACAAAAGCAACATCCAAACTCTATACATACGCCAATATTGGACATGTAGAAAATGCAGATTCCACACTTACTGTTGTGTATGTAAAAATATAATTCAGAGCACTAGTATAGTTTTGATGAATATTTCCGGTCAGGAAACAACACTCAACGTAAATACTGCATACACAACTGCATTTAAAAACATTCTCTCAATACTAATGCATATGCCGGTCAATCAAAACTATACAAATAAAGTTACGAGGGTGCCGGGGGTGGGGGTCAGAACAATAATTTGTTAATTAAGTTTTTAATATCCTACATTGAACTGTTTATGTGGTCGCTAAGACAAACTTTTTTATTTTACAAACAGATACCCTTGTTTCGTAACAGATGAACAAGATAACAAGAATCTCCAATTTCAGCAATTTATGTTTCAAAAATAAATTTCCGATCGGGACCACTAGAATCATTATGACAGAATACATTTGCATAGAGAATTTATAAATAAAAAATGTACACATGCCGCTGAGAAATTGACCAATCGACACAATGAACCACAATGCAAAATGAGCTACTACGAGTTTACTTTTACTTAAACAAAACATGGAGTTTGGTTAAAGTGTTCTGTTGTATCGTGTCTCGGAATCGTATCCTTATTTTTTTCGTTCATCTAGTGTAGAACATATAATTTTGAACGCGAGACGCGCGGTTCGTAAACATAGGACTCATCAGCGACACTCGAATCAAAACAGTTAGAAGGCCTGATCAAAGACGAAAAGCATTAAAATCCAAAATTCTGAAAAGAGGTGCAAAGCATCATGGGATTAGAAACTTGAGCTGCTATGATAATTACTACATTAAAATTGTTCTTATTTGGTATTCCAAACTATTTGTTATAAAAATCGAGTGGGACACCAGTCTATTTTTGAAGACGTTATGCTGCCCTCAAGCTATCTTTTTGTTTGTTATTTTTGTCGTTTGGTTGCTATCGCATTTTACAAATACGCCACATCTACATAAATTCCTAGTTTAAAAGATATTACATTTGTATGTAGCTAAAGTAAAAAGGAAAATGAAGGCAACGGTGCATTAGTTCATAACACAAAATCACAACGCGCATCAGAAAAAAAACCACAAGAAAAGGAACTGCACTTTATTGCTGTTATTCATCTCAAAGTAACAGTCGAGCTTTCGTTAACATGTTGCGAATCCATTTAAATAAAAAATATTAACCTTTGAAATGACAGAAGTACGTTAAATATCAATTAAATCTATTCTATGCCAAAATCCAAATTATAAGTGCATTTTACGGATATTTGACACTGTCTCGTGTTCCCTATTCTACGATATGGCTGAAAAATTCATGATTCTTCTACATGTCCTATCTTCGAAATCTAAATGCAAGTATACTAATCATCTTTTGGGTTTTTCTGGCAATTGGTGGCTATCTCGTAAACGAAAGTCTTAAATATTTGTTGATTTATCAATAATGGTAGTTGCTATGGTTCGAGTGTATTTTTTTCTTGATTACTCTGAGCATAGAAATAATACTTTATATCATGGTCTGTACATATATGCACATGAGAAGAATAAAATAAGATGAAATCTGTTCAAGACAATCTGTGAAAAATTGCTTTGATGTCAGTAAAAAACACGTGGTAGTTCAACATGCGTTGCAACTAATCAAGAGTCACATGATTGGTCAATGATCAAGGTAAATCATTTGAGTATTATCTAAACAAACAATCATATTGGCTTATTGAATTAAATATGTAATACCTTTTCCGTTGAAATGCACAGTTGTCACCTTAGAGAATACTTCTGATTTTACTTTGTCTTCAAATCTCATGTTGCACGAAAAATATGTAGCAGTTTTGAACGATCTCTCCAGTAAAAAAATACGAACAAAGGTATTTCCAGTTGGACTGCAGTGGCATTTACTTGAGATACATTCTCCATGCAAATGAGTACATTTTCCCGTTTCATTATCAAAAGTTATACTGTCCACTGAACTATTGTTCATAAGAAACTCCGTGTTCTTTCCTTTGGGTATTCTGCAGGACGAGCATGTCAAAAGAAGCCTTTGAACATCGTCATCCTCAATGATTTTGCCAAACAGGTTGACGATCGTAATGTCAGCTAAATCTGAAGAAAACGTTATAAAGATCAGTCCTTTTAGTTTTAGAAAATATATATAGTAAAGTACGCAAATCTATCGGAATTTTAAATATTAACTATACAATTCACTGTTCATTTGACGGTTTATGCATATCAAAGATTTATAAAGTTGAAATCTCATTCATAATTACAATACTTGGTTAGTAATTTACCATGAATCATTGTGTTTCATCATTTAAAAGCTCGAAATTTAGTCTAAATAGAACTGTATGATCTATAAAATCAGCAACACTTCCATTTTTGTTACCAATCTAACTTTTTTCGTTAAAAAAGTGATAGGATCATGATAAAGGGTAGTTAATTTTCAGTTAAAAGGTTAAAACAAATCCACCGAGAGATGAAAATAATGAACCTATCAATGACCAGTTGAAAAATATAGGGTGGATGGCTATTTTTCAACATCACCCTTCAAGTTAATCTTATTTTCTAAAAATGCTAACCAACAACCAATGACTGATGAACGTATATAAGTAGGTTGTAGAATGGGGGAGGAGTTGTCATTGATTTTTTAACACAAACTCTGCATGGTTTGTGCTGTGAAAAATCAATTTATTTTATAAAAAAATAGTTTTCATAATAGTATTATGATAAATCACTAGCCTCTTGATGTTGAAACCTCTGACATGAACTTATTATCCTTCTGTAAACATGTCCAGTTTCCATTTACGTCCGTCTTCAGATTAATGTCTATATCAAATGTCACTAAATTCTGTTGAACGATTGCCTTTACAAATATAAACGAGGAACAGCTGCCAGAAGATCCATTTATTTCACACCTTGATACATCTTTTTCATGATTATCAACTAAATGTACTGTCATTGAGTCGTCCTCAAATCTGCATATAAATCTAAGTGAATGTCCATCAAGTTCCCATGTTAAACAACCATATATAACATCGACAGCTGTACAATGAATTAAAATGATTTGCATAGTGTGTTAAAGATAAGTAACCCAAAATGAGTTCATATATTCATGAGCGTCGTTTGACGCCTGAAATTAATAACGTGTTGTTTTCATTTTTTGATTGAGATATGTCAAAAGAAAATTTAATGACAAATATGTGTAAATGTATGTAAATTCATAACTAAATACAATATATTTATTAACTATTAAACCAAAAATAAACAAGTTCTAAATGAATTAAATTTTAATTCTACATGTAACATGTTTAATACCAATTGACATAACATTCATAATTCTAGCAAAGATCATTTTAGGACTAAAACTTGGTTATCAATATATATACCTGCTAGCAAGAGTAGTAATACACCATGGATCCTCATGTTGATATCTGTTTAACGTATGGAACAATCTAAAAAACAACAACAACTAAAATCAAAACAATAATAAAATCCCCCTCCCCCCAAAAAAACAACAAAAAGACAAAAAAACAAACAAAACAACCCAAAACAAACAAAAACAAAATAATACCAAACAAACAAAACCATACAAACAAACAAGAAAACAAAAAGAAGAAGAAGAGTGAATATGATCTAAAATTATGTTAAGAAACATTCTTTTTTCTAGTGAAAGTAAGGCAAATTATCCCAAGGGATGTTCAAAACTCATAAAACAAATACAAACTGACAACGACATGGCAAAAACGGAAAAAAAAACAACTAAGATACAATCAACAGTCTACGATAAACAACAGTCTACGAACCACAACACAGGCAACTAGATACTGAGCAACATGAACCTCACCAAATACCAAAAAAAAAACCAAAAAAAAACAAAAAAAAAAAACAACAGACTAGACAAAGATGATGTCCCCGTTGCATGCATTAATACATATGTATAATGCCACATACATTGGATTTAGTGAAACGGTGATGTTGAAGTATGATTTGAAATGTTTGTGTCTAAAAGATATACTGTGGATTCATTATTATTCGCGGAATACCAATTTTCGAATATTTCGTGGGTACAGGTTTATCAGGATTTCAAATATTCAACGAATCACGAACTTTCTATAGGCTTGTATGCAGACTTGCTAAACCATGAAATCAAATATCCACGAAAAAACAAATTTTCTTCAGTCAACGAAATTGATAACCTTGAAAATAAATGAATCCACAGTATGTGATGCCCCGGCCAAAAAAGTTAAGCATTCTGCCATAAGTTTTAAATTAAGACCATAATATAAAAGTTCTAGCTGGAACTGTTAAAGAAGTTAGCCGGACAAACCCTGTACCCTGTTTGTTTTATATTACCAAAAACGACAGCAGTTCAACAACTCATTTTTTGCGGAAAATTTAAAGAAAAATTCTGACAATACGCTTACCTTTAATATATGTTCTAACAACTCATATAAATTTAGGATTTTAGCTTGAAAATCGTATGAGGAATTAGCCGGATAAACCATGTATTCTGTATGCCTTATATTACCAAAATTAGCCAAAAAATATTCAGCAACACATCATTTGCGGAAATTTTAAAGAAATCAAAGTCTTTATACTATGCACACCTTAAGTATTATTCTACATAATAAAGAGTTTTAGCTTGAAAACTGTTGGAGAAGTTAGTCGGACAAACCATATACCCTACATGCCTTATGTTTCATTAAAATGACAAGTTTAAAAACCTGTCATTGGTGGCAATTCAAATAAATAAAAAACCTGACAATATGCACGCCTTTAGTATAAGTACTTATACCCTACATCATATACCAGTTCTTGCTTGAAAACCGTAGAAGGGATTAGCCGGACAAACCATATACCCTATGTGGGACTGACGGAAGAACAGACAGAAGAATTGACGGAAGAACAGGGGTAAAACAATATGCCCCGACATTATTGTTCAGGGGGCATAGAAAGGTTAGAACTGATCCATATAGTATATTTGTAGAAAAGTGCTGAATAGATCTGGCCGGGAAAAAACGTTTACTCTTAGCAAATATATTCAACTGGAAAGAACCGATCTCACGAAGAATTATAGAGAAACAGATTTTGTATAACCATTACTATCTTAATTCATATTTTAGCCTTTGTTCAATATTTTGACTTGAATATCCGCTACTATTGATTTTCAATGTTTTAATTTTCATATAATGCATATTAGTGTTTTTCAACAAATATGCATATTTGTGTCGTAGCCATATATCTAGTAACATTTTATTTGCTAGAATCGTATTAACTTTTGCAATAAATAAATATTTGAAAATGATTTAAGAATCCTAATCTAGATATTTCACTGGAAACTGTTAAATGTGAACAGCAGTATAGAGAAAACTGCCTTTTTTTAGTAAACTCCTTATCGATGCTTCATAAAGTTTCATCAGTATTTTCAAAAAGTAATGTATTATGAAATCTTGTCATTATTACATGTTTCATATTGAATCATGATATGGTAGTTGTTCAGTAATTTTGAAGCATGAATACGTAAAAGTTTTCAAATTATCGGCTCTATCTCGTGTATGTGTCCACCGCATAAACAAATCAAATAGGAGTTTGATAAAATATAAATCATCCTGATATCAAAATGTGGTTACCTACAATTGCCACTTCACACGTTTTAAGATAAAGGCACTGAAACAAAACAGGAAGCTGCACTATGATACAATCCTATTTATGGAACAGGTTCATTTTGTAACATGTTAAATCCCATATCAAATATTCAATTTGGTTCTTCATTATAGAAGATTGACATCATGCACAATTTCTGTGACAATTAAAAAAGTTGCTTTAGGTAGAATTAGCCTTTTTCAACTGATTTTTACAGTTTGTTCCTATGTTGTGCTGTTACACCACTGCCCCAGTTCGGTGGGAGATGGGGGAGGGTCCTTGTACGCTTGTAAACATGTTAAACACTGTCACCTTTTGTATTTGCCTGTCCAAAGTCAAGAGCTTGTATTCCAGTAGTTGTCGTTTGTTGTTGTCTATCATATTTGTTTTTCGTTAATTGTTTTGTACCTTAATCTGGCCGTTGATATTCTCATTTGAAATATTTATCGTCAGCTCAGTTATAAAGGCGTCGATTCTGACATGATTTGTAGCATACTTAATCAAGATTCCACATTGATAAATTAAGAAATTATTTAGAAATTATTACGAGACTAAGGTTCTAACTCCCACAGAGGAAGTTTACCTTCGATGACTTTGGCTATTCTATTTAGGGCTTAAACAGTTCTACATATGTACATGTCCCCGGCTTTTAAATGTTTATATTTGAGCAGTCCTGATATAGGTAAATCAAGTAAAGCACTTTGGATGTACGGCATTGAATAAAGTGTTGTTTTTAACATTTTGTCTTTTCGAGGCCTTTTATAGCTTACTAGTATACGGTATAGGGTTTTCTCTTTGTTGAAGGCCGTACTGTGTCTTATATTTCCTGAACTCTAAGTCATTTGGTTTTGGTGGATACCTGTATCATCAATCGTACCACATCTTTTTATCTTAAAATAAGAAGTAATAATTTTAAATGCAAATGCGTTTGATACGCAACAGTCCGCTACATAACATTTCAGTAAATATCGTTACGTAGTTAACATGTCGCTATGCAGTTGACAAAATTCTCAGATATCAATTCTTACAAATAAACTAAATGTTTATCACCGTGCGTTCCTAATGGGGACGATTTAATGTATACTTAGTTCTACAATTTCTTCCTAAATATTAATATTATTTAAATTCATTTAGTTTTGATTAATATACATGGTTGTCCCCTACTTAATACCGTGTCCCCATATTTAATATACAATCCACTACTTTTTTAGCCATGGTGTTGTCAGTTTATTTTCGACTTACGAGTTTGAATGTCCCTTTGGTATCTTTCGCCTCTCTCTTTCACAAAGCGAGATGATTATTTCATCTTTTGACGTGGATTTACTCCGATAAATACAACCTGTTGAGCACATTTCCAAGGATGATCAGTTTGTCTTCAGAAACAGAAATTTACGTAGTTTATAGAACAGTTAGAAAATGAACCACCAAGACAAAAAG